AAAAAAAGGAAAATTTTCAACTTTTGAACTAGTTTTATTTACTTAAGATCTTCTATTTTATGTACAAGATCATCATTTTGAGTTACAACAACTTCACCACCTAATTCATTTTGTAATGGTTGAGAAGTTAAACCAAATATCCAACCTGAAATAAACAAATAAATTATAACAAATATAAGAAAAACTTTTACCTTGATATGTACAACATACTAATTCATCATAATTTGCATTACCAACTGTTCCACCTTCAATATTAGTAATACTTTCTGTACCATTCTAAAATTAAAATACTATTGTTGTTTTTTTTCCATATATCTAGGATAAAGGATATATTTGAATCTATGCAATAATAACGAAAAACTATTTGAAAAATAAATAGTGATTTTGAATAGTTGATGAAATTTTTAATAGAATATGTAATATATCTAATTTTTAAAAGTAGATTTTAAAGACAAGTTTTAAGACGATCATCCTGGAAGATTTTATCGAAACTATTTATTTATATTCTCATTTTAAAGAGTGTGAGATACTAAATAAAATGACAGATGATCGAGTTTTCGATGGTCTACTTTTGCCAATTTCTTAATAAATTATAGGATAGATCATAAATAGCACTACGATAAAAAAACAATGAACTATATCCGCGTCGGTTCAATCCATCGAACTGACTTTTTTAGGATTATTAGAGGTAAAAGTTTATTCAAAATATTTTTTTTTCATATGAATAATATAATCAAATACTACTATTAAATATTATTGTTGGTATCGTGAAAGCAATCAAGTAAGAAAAATATACGTGTATAGTTTCATAGATAATTTTTAGTTGTCATCTAAGAGAGACCGTCAAAATGAACTATATGAATGGCATTATATTGATGTACATAGAGCAAATCTTCAAATACTATATCCATATATTATCATTCACAAAATTCATTTTGATGCCTCTCTTAAATGACAACTGCAAATTATCTTTGAAACGCCTCATATATATGTTTTTCTTGACAGTAGTATTTGTGAACGTTATCTGTATAAAAAACAAAAACCTTAAATAAACTTCTACCACTGACCAAAAAATAAATCCATTCGAGTGAATCGAAACAGAAATATTTCAAACTTTTATTTTAGTTCTATTTATGGTCCACCCTGTATAATCTATTTTCATTTTATTTAATCTATATAATTTCACAAGAAACGACTATAAAACCAAATTTCAATATAGAATCATACACTGTTCAAATTACTATTAAAAAAAATAAGACTTAAGTATACAATATTATCGAAAAAAAATTCATTTAATTTCGAATAATATTATAGAAGAATATAGTATCTTACATAAGTATATTTTAAAATAGGTTCATCAGTTGTTTCAAAATTATATACTTCAACAGTACCATCTTCACGTGCAACAATCATATCTGGTACACCATCAGCCAATATATCATAAAAATCAATAGCACTTATACCCGATAAATGTTTTGGATTAGCTATTTCCCATTTAGTAATTGTTGAAATACTATTTCAAAAAAAATAAGTAATATAAAGCAAAGCAAAAAAAAAACAAAAACTTTTAAAAAAGCAAACCTGCCAATTTCAAGTTGACCAAGACGACCATCAGATGTACCATAAACAATTTCACTTTTTGTTGGACCTAATAATAATCAATAATCTTATTCTTTTCTGTTTTATACGAATTTTTACCTCCAGTCTTATTCGAAAGAACTAAAGTTGTTGGAACACCAGGAATTTCAGCTTCATATAATATTGATGATTTCTAAAAGAAAGAATAATTTTATTGATTTTTATTTCATTTGTTTTTTTTTATTTTAATTTACATTTAATGGTCTTAATAATCGATCTTGACAAGCAATAACAGGCATAGCTTGAATTGGCAATGGAAGAATAATAATATCATTCATTTTTGCTGCAAATGTTAATGTATCTGCTTCGTTTGATTCAACATAATGTGTATATGTTGTATCTGTACAAGTATATAAACTTGAACCAACTACAGCCCTGTTGATTTTTTAATAATTAAAAAAACAAAATCAAAAGAATTTTTTAGTTTAATTGACTTACATGCATCGAATTGGATCACTAACATTTGTATCAAATGTATAAAATTGTTTACCTTTTCTTGAATAACCTCGTACTTCTGTTTCTGCTGCAGCAAATATTCGATCAGGTACTTCACCTGATCGACCACCGAGTTCAATTCGAGTAATACGTCTACCAGGTGTAGTTTTAAAAATAGGCTAAAAACTAAAATCTAGAATCAATATTTAAATATATGAATAATAACTTACATTAATATCTTTTTTTTTAATAGAAAATAATTGAACTATTCCATTACTTTCACCTAATGCAATCTATGAATAAAATTAAATTATAAATTTCAATCAAAGAAAAAAATAGTAAGTAGATATTTATATACTTTTTGAGTCTCTTTTTTCACACTATCACGAGGTAATAATCGCATACATTTAGGTGTTACTGATGATGCTGCCTTTACAAAAAAAATAGATTTAGATAAAAAATTAAAAAAAAAAGAATTTAAATTCAATACTTTAAAATAATCGACACGATTTAATTGTAATTCGAGCATTTTACAACTTGAGATAATCTATTCCTTTTTTTTTTAATCTACTTGTTTTTATTTTTCTGTAGAAGAAAAATGAGCCATAACTCGAATGATCGTTTCGGTGAGAACCTTTATTCTTTCTATATCTTGAAATCTTTTATCGAACTGAATATGTACGTCATCTATCGTTCATGAACAATATTTCATTACATTCTCTAATGATAATTATAATTCAATTTATTACAAATATTTATATCTACTTAAATCGAACAAATTATCTAAAAGATTTTCCTAATTTCTAATCGATGTTTTCCATGAGATCAACTATTTTTTATTGTTTCTTGATGGAGAAAAAAATTTTTATTTTAATTCAACTTTAGCTAACTAGGTTGAGAAGAGAAGAACGACATATCAAATTAACTGAATATATAATATTAATAGATGAAGATCATTACTGATGATTAAATGATAATTATCTCTCCGTTGTAAAATCAATTCTTTCAATACGAACTACATTGTAGTAAATTCTTGATAAACTTTTTAATAGATGATTTTCAGTTGTTCATAATGCATGAGTAACAGTGAACATCAAATTAGATATGACTGATTCATATACAGTTCGTGTATGGAAAATAACGAAAAGTCAAAGTTTCTATTAAATGAAAAATTGACACAAAAATTCAACGATTATTTTAATCATGTATTCAATTTCTTGAAAGAATGCGATATTTGATATTGAGTAGTTTCACACATAAGAAATCTTAGAATAAAACATTCAGATATAGGGTGTCACTTCATGAAGTCTAAAAAGTGAAAAGTGTGGAAAAGAATTGGGAATCTATATTATTGCCAATTTGTAACATTTCTAAGAGTTTCAACCATTTGTTTTCTATCTATTGCATTTCTTTATTTTTGCAGTTTCAAAATATAAAGGATAACATGAAAAAAAAAACTAGAAATTTTTATTCAACATATTGTTTTTTGAATGTATATCTATTATTAGAACTAATTGCTGTCGACAATTGTGTTTGAGACAACAAATATTTGTGTATATCTGTACATGACAATGAGGTATGATGTTGACGAATTTGTAATTCGGCAGCTATTGAATCTACTGACATTCGATTACGAAAATCATTAAGTAAATGTTTCATTTCCGAAAAAACACTTTTCACATAGTTATTACTGACTGGAATAGAATACAAAAAGAAATTAGTTTTCTCATATTTTGATGTGGGTATTGCATTGACAGTTAATAACATTGCTCATAGTTGATCTGATCGGTTCATTTTTGTTTGTTCTTCTTCATTCTCTTTGACAACCTCGCTTTACCATATTGTCGTTGCCGATGAATTGTAAATTTCTTTTTCTGCTTCATTGGAAAGAAAAAAAATCGAATCTGATTATGTAATGATTCTTTCTTTTTAATAGCTTCAAAATTACAACTTGTCGTGCCTAAAATTTTTGGGACTCGGATTTGATAAACTCTATTCGAAAGTAAATTTTAATTTGGTAAACTCATTGAACAGATTATCTTCGTTTAGACCTTTGATATTTATAGCTTCAATACATTTTTGAATTTGATTCCGAGTACGATTTTCAATTTCATTACCAAATATCCAACTGTCTCTAGAAGAGCAACATTTTGAGAGAAATATTCGTCGTTAGTAGCAATGTCAGAGTGCATCCGATATAACAATTGTTGACAGTGACTTCCAAACAATGATGTGTCTACCTGCTGTTTTAATTTCTATTGAAGTATTGTTATGATTTGATATAAATCGATTGTTGTAATAGATTCGTTTTGTAATTCTAAATTAGCCTTCTGAATTTCGAAAAGGATATGATACAAAAATGTTAAAACACATAGTCTCATTTTTTTTCTAATTCTTTAGGAATTCTTTGTTTGATTGGTTTGTGAAATTCTCTTTTCCGAATTTGTAAACAACCCAAGTCCATCATTCAGGTCGTCTGTAACGACGTCTTAAAAGACCTAAAACGGTGAAAAAACGGTGCAATTATTGCCCTAAACGATGAAAAACGATCGCCATTTTTCTCCCGGAACGTAAACGGTGCCGTTTTAGGCCCTTTCCGGCGATTAACGGTGGGTAATGCCAAGATCGCATTCTCCCCCTACTATGAGTTATTTACACCATTTTCCTCGTTTACGACTCTATTTATATGCTGCCCAAGGATGGCCTTCTCCTCTGCCCACCTTCCCTATAGACAACAAATAAAATTCGTTTATCTAAAGAAAATACTTACTTTTAAACATTTTATTGAGATAAGTTCTAAATAAAACAAAATAAATATATTTATTTAAAACAATCAATGACAAATGTTCCATTTAAGTAAATATGTTAGAAAGCTTTAAAGCATCTAACGATCTAATTACTCGATAATAGTCGCCACGACGAGCTAAAAAAGATAATATTTAATTCAAACAGCACTTTATATCTTAATGATCTTACGTACAATCAAGCCTTGCTTGATCTTCAAAATTATTGATCACTTGTTGTAAGGTACATTGTATTGTACAGTGACTAGAAAAATAATCTCTCATTATTGATTATTAATAATAAATAAATAATGTACTTGAGCATGTAAAAAAATTCAGGATCTTTTGAAATATCAAAACCTTCTTGTTTTGCTTTATTGATATCGTCAATCACATCTACATCAAAAACATACAAAATTATTAACATAGAGAGAAAAAAAAAACTTACTCTGAAATTTAGCCAATTTATAGTAGTATTCTGCTCGACGTTTGTAGACCATAATTAGATAATTTTTGTTTGTTGTATTATTTTGTTCACTAAGAATTTTTGTGAACAACTGTAAATTAAACAAAATCAAAAACAATAAATAAAAGGAGGAGTGTTTTACATACTGCAATTGCTTTTTCATATTCTCTTGCTTCTTTTTCAAGACAAGCAGTAGTGTATTCATCAGTAGCCATTTTTATTTCTAATATTTGATTTTGTCTCTCGATAGACAGTGTTAATGTTAAACGAATAGTATGAATAAAAATATGACCTATATATAAACGAACGAACACATGAATAATTGCTGACGTCCAAGAAGATAAAGCGCAATACAAACTTAATTCAAAGTGAATTAACCAATATAATTGGTGGTGTTACGTAGAGGCACCAATCATGTTTCTTAATTCACTTTGAATTATAAGTCAGTGTGTTTGGGACCTCTATGAATTAAAATGAATTAACTCGTATATGGTTGGTGTTTCTACGTACCAACACCAATTACTTTTCTTAACTCATTATCATGATGTTGTTAGTGAGCAAGTAAATAAGCTATGGTAAAATTTTCAACCCGATATCATGACGTTTGAGGAAGATATTAACCAAACAAGGGTCAAAAATAACTCATTTAGCAAACCAAATTTCTCTGTCCAGGTTTATTCTAGAGATTTTTTTTCTGTTTGAAAGAGCATGTCAGAATACAGTGCAGTACAGAGCCCTTTTTTTTTAAATATTTACCTTTTAAGGAAAGAAAAGGGATCGAAAGGTCAATGACTCAAAAACCCTTAAAAAATGGGTGTTGAGTTATATAAGTGCCTGTATATGTAATAAAAAACCTTAATTAAAAAGGGGCGCTCTATACTGCACTGCGTCTTGACGCGCTCTTTCGCACACACACAAAAAAAAAATAGATATATTGAATGAATATCGACAGAGAAATTTGAAATGCGCGCTCAAGAAACCATAACCAGAGTAAAAACGAAAAATATTTTCTGTTTTTTTTCTGAAAACAGCTTGTTTTTCGAATATGGGACAACAGAGATTTTCAAAAATTTTTGGAAAAAGAGGTGCAGAGTAAAAATTTTTGTGGTTTATGAAAGATCAAATCACGGGCTATCTTTCTTTGCATTCATCTTAATTTCAATCATTCTGACGAAAAGGGACTTTTTTTTTTTAAGAGGGAGTCTTAACGCATTTCAGCATACATTCATAAGAAAAAGAAAGTCTTTCACGGAGAAAATGACTGGATCCACCCGCAATGTCCTAAAGGAGCATCTGAATCGTAATAATCGTTCTCTCGTGCATCTGAACATTCAATGTCGGGACCAATTAGCAGTTAATTTTTCTGCGTAGAGCTATTGTATATTGCATCACTACGTAGTATCATTGAGTAATTCCGGACAATAAAAAAAAAATAGGTATGTTGGCATTTGGCAATATCGAGCCATAAGTGATAACTATCAAGTTCTGATGTGTTTAATCAAAACTTGAAATAAATTACAAAAAAAGTATTATTAATTACTTCTGCTTTACTCTTTAATCAAGGAAAATTTACATGAAAATCGTATTTGTAAAATTCATAATAACTTCTGATCTTCTCAATTCTTTTGAATGAACGAGAAAAATGTGTATGTCATATAAGAAATTTCTCAATATCAATCATTTACGGTTGATGATTTCATTTCACATCGTTATGTAGAATGTGACAATCACAGTTTACCTAATGGTTCAACTGTAAAATGAAGAAACAGACACATTCATCTCTTCATTTAGTTAACCTTTTATGATATTTTCAATACGATGATGAAATAATGAGTAGACACCGTAAGAATTACCCATGTTAACATTCACGCTGTCTGCTTCAATCGATGTAAGACATTCACTGCAATCGAGGAGTGCTTGGTTCACTCGCTGGAGATTGGTTTTCCAATTGCAGACCAAGATGAGAAATTGGTTATGATGCACTGTTGAGATAAATAAGAATGACTATGTTTGACTCTATGATAGACAAGAGTATTTTCTGCAGCTGCTATTTCTTCACTCTTCCCTTGCTTGATTTCATTGTTGACGTTATCAATTATCGATTTATAATGAAGGATTTCATATTATCGATATGTGTTTTCAATTTTGTATGCCGATCGAAATCATTTTTTCCATGATAGCGAACTGAAAAACTACTCATTGCAGGCAATACATACAAATTTAGTTGCGTCCAATTTATACTTCCATACAAATGATTCGAACTTTGAATCAAGTGACCATTGTGAATTAAAAACACTTTTTTTTTTCTTTTTTCAAAAGCATCTATTATGACTTCCAAGGCTTTATTGTCACCTGATTGCAGTATTATTATGACTGTTATTAAATTTTCATGATTGTTTTCATCCTCATTAATTATCTCACTATCCATTGATCACAAAAAAAATCGTTTGAACTTTCAGATTTGAGTTTGTTTTTTGTGTTAACAAAGCATGCAAAACAAGTGGGTCAACATAGTTGACTATCAGTTGAAAGAAGAATGGCGTTTTTACTTCATGAATAAGAATTGGGAGTACAGACTCTCTTCCATCGGAAAATTTTTAATGTTATTCCATTAAGTTAACGAATCGATCAATAAGAATAATGATATATTGCACACGTCAGTGATCATGATTTATTGAATAATAACATGCTTTCTTCTGTGCTGAATTTTCAATAAGAAACAAAAGTTTTCTATATGAAAAACCGGAACAGTAAAAAAAAAGCGGAAAATTCGCACAACGAGGCGAATGAGGTGGTAAATTTGTTCAGATGCCATCTTTCGTTTAACTGAACCATGATTTATCAATTGTTTTAAGCATCCAATCATCTTTTTTTTTATTCCCAAAGAAAGAAAGAAAGAAAGAAAGAAAGAAAGAAAAAATTGAAGTATTAATGATGGCATAGTAGAAGGAATAAGAAAAAAAAGAACTACTCTATCGATCATTTGGTTTTTCGTCAGAATACAGATCGTTATTTGTAGGTCGCCATATTTTCTAGGGCTTTTTTTTTCTACTCACTGATTCTCTTTTACAATCCACTCTTCACCTTGGATTATACCAAATAAAAAATAAAAGACAAAATTTTTGAAAAAAGATTAATATCATTCTTTTGTAGATTTTAAAGATATGTCATCTAGCAACGGTGCTTCACATTCAACTCATCAGTAGGTTAATTTTTCTACATTTATATTCATCTTATTATATCCATAATTCATTATAGAGAAGTCAAATGTGGTAGTATTACTGGTCTTAGATCAGTTAAGGAAGAAGATTTAGAAATTTGGAATATGGTAAAAACAAATATTGTATAATTCAGATTAATAAAATAATTGATTATATATATATATATATATATAGTATAAACAACATTTGGAAAAGAAAATACAAGATCAATTTCATGTATCAACTAGTCATAAACTCAAGCCAGTTCAAGTTGCTACACAAATCGTAGCTGGACAAAATTACTTTTTCAAAGTATTTGAAATTATTTATTTTTTGTTTTTATATACGTATTATGAATTAAAATTAGGTCGAATTACCCGAAAAAAAATATGCAACAGCTCGTGTTTATCATGTTCCATGGCAACAAGACACACATGGTAAAGAAGAACAAGTGGCTGTACATGCTAAACTACTTAATAGTCCCAATGAAAATGTTGGTCATTTTTAAATTAATACATTTGTTTTGCTTATCTTTATATATTTGATTATTAATTATTCTATATTTTATTTGTTGAAAGTATTTAAGTAGAATCTACATAAGTAGAAAAGAGAAAGAGACAATATTTATAGTCAATAATTCTATATCTTGATTATATATATAATTTGATAATTATTATTCTTTACAATGTGACTCATATAAATTTATTAGTGAATAAAAATCTTGAAAAAATAATCCAATTCTATCACTGAAGAAAATGTGTAAAAGCCAAAAAAAAAAGAGAAATGTAATCGAATCAAATATTATTTAATCGCTCTATTGACTGCTAGTCTGCTGTTCATTAAAAAGTAATATATTGAAATTTACAGAATTATTTAATATTAATTGATTTTTCTTCTATCAGGTTTTCTCTTTAATATATCACACTAGACAATGAGCTTAAGTTTTCATAACAATATGCGATTAACATTTTCATAGAAATTGAAAAAATTTATGCCTGAAATTGTTAACCATTACATGCTTCAAAACTTTCGTTATTTAATCTCTTGAAAACGAGGTTACTTTCAAGAAATCAAAGAAAATTTCCAAAACCCTGAGGTGATATATTTATTCATCAATATCAAAAATAGTATAGAAGTATTTTAGAGCATAATAATCTTGATGATGTAGATGAATAAAGGTTTTCTTTTCAGCTGTACTCATACCCTTACCCTCACAATACGGATGGTGGTATAAACAGATCGATAGTTTGTGTGCTGCTAACTCAGATCATAACAGCATCTTAAGAGGCATATGCAAATTAATTAGGAATCGATTCAAAGCCAAGCATATATATACATTTATATGTCTACCGTTCTCAAGGGATTAGTAATTCAATAAAATAAATTCATATCGTGCAGGACGAATAGCGTGAAACTAAAAAATCGATCTTATTTAGAAACATGCAGTGTTGATATTAATCTTGGAATAATGATGATGAGTCATCGACATAGGATCCACTAGGGTACTGATTATATTGGCATCTGTTTTCATTGAAGAACTGATATCCGCATTCGCTACAATATTGAGATATCAACTCTATCAAAATATTGTTTTTTTTGGAGCAGTGTCTTCCAATACTTCAATGAATACTGGTGCTAGTTGTTGTCAGTGTGCACTACCTACACTGAGTTGATGACATCGATAGTCAGTAAACTGAAACTGCACATCCCTAATCTCATAAGGACTATAAAAATAAACATAATTGTATATAATTCTTCTTTTTTTTTTTTTGTACGTCTCATTCATTTAGTCTTATTGCGACTACTAATTATACATCAGATTTAAGAACTTTTTCTTTTGTTCATCCATTATTCAAACAACAAAATTCATCTTTTCTAATGGTTTAAAATGTTAGTATCATTATTTAATAACAAATATTATATACATACGAATATTTAATTCAGATTCAATTTTTTGAAGATATTTAATTTTTACATGGAATGAATTTACTGAAAAATTGTTCAAGTTCATAGATTGATTAATAATAGATGAAACGTAATGTTTTGTCACCAATTTAGCCCGTTCCATTAACTATGCATTGCAAGCAGAAATTATTTACTATCGACATTGAGTATTATTGAATTGAACGATGTAGTTATAGTCTGAATTGAACTATATTCAGAGATAATTGAATTGCATAAAATTATTGAGGAGAAAATGACCTCGATTACCCTCTTGAAAAAGAAATCCAATTCGATCATTTTTCCAAATTTTGTTAAAATAATTAGTGGAAAAACAATCTTATTGGAAATGTTATTATCTTAAGACTATAATCCATAGTAAATTTCTTTTAAGATATTTCAGAAATAATTTGTTGATGTGGAAATTTCTATTTGTATTGGCTTGCGAAGTTATTCCTAGCATGATTACATATATAAAGACATTGATTCCTTTTCTTATTTTATGAATGTGATTGGATTGTAATTATAGATACCATCAATAATGTTTTATAAGAGTTCTCTAATATCTTTTTTTTTAAATAATTTTTGTACAAGATCAGTTGTCAAAGCGATATTTTTGATGGAAAAAGAAGGAATAAGATTTTTTTTCCCCATAGAATCTTATCTCTTAGCAAAGACATGAGTATATCTTTATTGTACCGTATATGTATAATGGTAATTGTAATGTTTCATTCTCGAAGGATAAATATAGATTAAACAAAACACATGATATACAGTGTACTATACCAATTAATGGTTATAATTATTTAATAACGATGTATAAACTTGACCTGACATATTTATTTATTTGTTTGTCTCTCTCTTTTTCTCTCGCACTCATTGTCATTTACTCTTTTACATATACAAGATGAAATGACAAAAAGAAAAAAGAAAACGGACGGAATATCAAACACAAACTATTTTTTGAATTTTATAGGTTTTTTTTTTTTCTTTCTTTCTATTCTTTTAAACTGTAGTCACAGCTTGTTCCATCATAGTAATACCAATTAAACCTTGACTATTTTCATCATCATCTAAATATGTTTGAATTGATTTTTTTCTCAATGATGAATTATCTTGTTGTTGTTGTTGTCGTATACGTTTTTGTCGTTGTTCTATCTTTAGTTCGTTTGGTATTTCTATTTCTTGTTGTCGTCGTTTCATTTTAATTAATAATAAAATTAGTATAGTTGCAACACATAACATTATAATACAAAGAATAAAAATAGTTATAATTATAATAAGATTTTGATGTAAAAATGATAATGAAGATGATGATGATGATAATGTTGATAATGAAAATTTGGAACGTGTTGGAATCATAAGAAAACAATTTGATGATAATTCATCATCATTTGATAATGGTTGACAATGAATTTGACCATCACATAGAAGTGATCGATGTATACAAAATGAATTTGTTATTGTACTATTAGAATTTTTTTTACAATCAAAATATTCATTTGATAATAAACATTGATTATCAGTTATATTTGATTTAACTTGTACAACTGTCCATAATAATTGAAAACCACGTAATGGTTCTTTTGTTTGTCGATTTAATGAAATAAATTGTATTGTAAACCAATGTGAATCAGTTAAAAAATAATGAATTTTTTCTTCTTGTCCACAAAATTCATGAATACGTTTTTCACTATAAATTCTTAAAACAGATGATTGACATCCTTGTGGTGGATCTTTTGTTTTCGAACCTTCCATTTCAAGCATACGTAATTCTAGATTAAATTGAAATCCATGTTTTGTTACATATGACCATTCACAAATAATATTTTCTGGATAACCATTACTTGATAAATTACCTGAAGGTTCATTTGTTTCATTAATATAAATAATTGAATCAAATGGACTTCGACATGATGATGAAAATAATATATTTGATTGATTTAAAAATTGATAACGTCCATCAAATCCTAAAGCAGCTTCAGAATCATCATTTGCACGAAAATGTATACGAAATTGTTGTGTTGAACGTATAGTTAAATAAGGTGAAGGAAAATTTCTATAACCACAATAAATAAATGGATGTAAATAAAATTTTGATGATGAATAAAGACTATATGTATATGTTAAATTATCTGATGGACATTCAATATAATTATCATCAACAATATTAAAATAATCATACCATATAAGTAAACGTGAATCTTCATTTAAAGGATAAAAATTAAATGTACAATTGGAATTAGAAAAATAATCATTTTCAGATGAACGTGGTGGTTCAAATTTTCCTATAAATAGAAAACAATCATTCTATTAATTCATAATCTATCATAAATTATATATTCGAAAATTACATTTCCTTAATTAATATTTATCATAAAATTTTGTAAGGAAAAAAAAGAAACGAAAACAAGAAGATCTCTTACCAGAAACTGTACGTGATTGATAATAAGAAAGATTACAAATAGTTGGATTTAATGCATCATATTCATCGGCAGCTACTTGATGATAACTTTTAACAAATTTATATTTTGCTTGAAATTTTCCACCATTAATTAATGATGGTAAAACATTATTTACTAAACGATCATTTGGTATAAGTGATATTTTAAGTAAAGCATTTTTTGAAACAAAACGTCCTTCAGGTTTAAAATGACCACAAAATGAAAGATTTGCTTTAAAATCAAGATCTTGTCGATAATAATTACTAAATATTGAAGATTTTTCTGTTGTCATTGATATTGAACTACTTGATGTAAATAATGGACGTGTACGTAAACGATAATCATATATTATACTTGCATTATAAATAACTAATGATGCTAATTGACAATCAATATCAAATTGTTCAAATTCAATTTCAACATTTTCTAATGTATAACGATCATCAAGACCTAATAAATATGTTGTACATGATGTTTGTGGTTTATATGGATATGGCCAATTTGGTGATTGAAGTTTACCTTAAAAAAAAAAAAAGAAAAGAAAAATTTTCAATTAATATATTTAAATACAAAAAAAAAAAGAAAACACAATTCTTTTTTTTTTTCATACCATATCCTTGACCAAATGATTTTATAGTTTGATCACATTCTGTACCAGATAAATATTGATTGGATTTATTTTTTGTTATAAAATCAAGTTTATTTAATGATGATAAAAATTCATATTCAGCAAAAAAACCTTTTCTCCATAATGATCGTCTTATATCATTCATTTGTATTTGTTCACCATCAGTTAAATCAGCATAATGTGTTGCAATAAAATAAAGTAATAAATGATTACTTGTTGAATAAACATCAAGTGGTAATGTATATGTACCACATAGATCAGTTATATGATATTGTTCTGTTTCTTCAGGTAAATATTGATAATCATAATTATTTATATGACGAAAACTAGATAAAAATCGACGAAGTTCTGGTGGATCTAATGTTTTATCATAGAGTTTTATTAAATCAATAGCACAATGTTGAGTATTAGGAGTTTTAAAAAGAATTAAATCACGAAAACGAATGTGAATACGTTCACCTGGTAAACCAATAAATGAATAATTACAAAATTGCCACTAAAACAAAATAAAGATTTCTTTTTTTTTTTTTTGTTTCAATTATTTATATTGATATTTATCTACTTACAGGTAAATAAGTTCCTGGATATGTTGAAGAAAAAAATTCACCACGTTTTGAAATGGATGAATTAAATATATAATCACATGGCTCACGTATAAGATTTTTTCGATAAGGTTGTGCTGATATAAAACGAAATGATCCATTAAAACCACGTTCTGTTTGTGTATCTTCAGTAAAAAATCCAAGTAAAAGTAAATTTGTAAATGATACTAATAATGGTGGTTTATTTCTACCACAATAACGATGTAGTAATTGATCATTAAGTACATTTTGAGCAATATCAAAATTAGTTACATTAATAAAAACATCTAAATAATCATGTGTACATTGTGGTGCAACACCACGAATTTGAAAAAGATCCATTTCAATTTGAACACGATAATCAGGTGAAGCTATAAATTGATAAAATAATATTGTATCTTGTGGGTAATAATTTGGAAAATTAGGACCTTTAAAAAGTAGATCAAATCAAAAACAGAAAAAAAAATATATAATTAAATTAATCTAATTAAGAATAGTTACATACTGGAAAAAATACCACCATCTGGTCCAAAATGAGCCATATCAAAAATTAAATATTGTGTTTCAATGGTCGTTGATGATATAGATAATGATTCATCTTGACCACGAACTTGCCATTTAAGAAGCATTAAACAAATAAATATAACGATAGACGAAGAGTCCATGATGACAATCACAAGTAGAACAAAACTTGACGACATGCTCGTCGTCTTCGTCGAACGAAAACCATTCAATGTGTCATGATGAAATGGATGGTAGTTCGTGCCTTTGCCATTGACAGACACGCACACAAATTCCTGAGATCTACAAGGCCATATATTATAGAAACGAACAGAAAAAACGACTGCGGACTGATTAGTTAGAATGACAATACACAGAGAATAGAACTAGTAGTATGAAGCGAGAAAAGATGCCGGTGGTAGAACATTGAGGAAGATCATCATCATCGCATTTTTAGTTGCGGTAGCAAGAACTGTCTTTTCCTTCCTTTCTATTCTATTCTTTTTTTCCCAAGATTCCTCGTGCTTGTGTGTGTGTGGGTGTGTTTGTATGTATGTTTCTATCTTACTACAAAAGGCGGAGACAGCTTGTGTGATTTACTCTGTTCCGCACAAAACATAAAGCAAGAGACAGAGACAGAGAGAGAGAGAGAGAAGAAAAGAGAAAGAAAGAGAAGACAGAGAGAGAGAGAGAGAGAGAGAGAAAAGAGAAGCTCAAGATCAAATCAAGTCGTCGTTGTCATTCACCACTATGCACTTCTTTGATTACATAAACGCATGCGATAAAACGAGACCCCGGAAGTGTGGGTAAACGGTCCGGATGGAAAACAATTATATAACTGGACAAGTGTAGAAAGACGAGACTCTTTTCATAATGTTCGATTATTGAAATGCGATGCAACAGATGGTAACCTCTATTTTTCTTTCCCATTTCTTTTCTCTCTTTTTTTTTTTGTTCTCGTCTATATTGAACAGAAATAATACGAATACGTCTTTATCTACGATAGTTCTTAACATCAAAAGTATTCCTATTAATTCTTTATTGATTAGATGGTAAGACTAATGAAATGAAACTACAATATCTAGTATCATCACTCACATAACACTTGTCCCATCCTTATCTTATATATGTCTATAAGATATCATTTCAACGAATAACAAGAAGAAAAAGCCTATAAGATAGTAGGAGGTAACAACATGATGATGAAATCAAAAAAGATCAAACATCTTGACTGATCTAGTGAGAAAAAAAAACCATGAGGGAGTGCATCGTCTTGTGTTTGAATTAGCACCATATTCAATTAGAAACAACAACATCGAACCCAATAGTAGTTGTTGTCAATTGTTTAGACGATCGTCTATATTCTAATGAGTAAAAAATGAGGCTGCTCAGTTGTTCTACATGTTGATGATGCTAATCACTTCATACACAAGCAAAAAAGTTTGTCGTGTTCGTTGCGCAAGACTGATACTCACGTCATCATTATTCTTTCTCACGAACATGTACATACATATATACAATGGGAATAGTGACCGCCGCTTCTCACTTTCTGTCTCATGTCAATCTCGATTAGCACATACAATCGTTCAATAAAATGAATGTATATGTGTGTGTGTGTATATATACATATATATATTATATACACCGTCTATAATATTACAGTTAGGTCAACGTCATTTGATACGTTGTCATCACCTATGCGTTGAACAACGAGAGAAAAACGAATGAAAAAAAAAGAGGTAGAAGTCAACATATAAAAACTAATGATCCACTTGACGTTTCTTTTTTTTCGAAATATTACATCAAGATGTGACCGATTCAAGTAGCATCTTATTTGAATTTATAACAAATGATACGCCCACATATATACATAAGAAATAGAATAGAGATTTAAAAAGGATTTTGCATACGACTGACATTCAGAGTAACTTCCTTTTTCAAATAAAAACATTTATATGAAAACAAAAAAAAATTCGAAACCATAGATTTTTTTTTTCTATTCTCATTGAAATCCGTGATTCTTTGTTAGTTACATAAGAGAGTAACTTCTTTTTTTTTATTCGAATAAACTATAAAATAAATGCTGATTTTATATGATCTATTGTTCCTTTTTATACATTTACATAATTTACTATAAAAAGTATTCATTTTCTTTCGCTGATATTTGATTCTTGTCTTCAATCTTAATCAAGATTACACTTGTCCCAACTGAAATATGTATTCATAAGTATAAAAAGAAATATTCTTCGATAAGTTTCTCAAGAGAGATATCAAGAAGAAATAGTAGCTTCGTCCTTTAGGCATTTGTTGTTTATTGTTTTTACTATATTAGTATCATAAAGCTAATATGTATATCGTCAGGCGTCAATCATGTTCTCTTGAGTATTAGTCTACATGTCAATCAATTTTTTTTTGCCTTCTGTCATCTTTCAATCTCTTCCACTTCATAGAAAATATATTCTCAATATATGAATGTATGTTATGCGGTAATCAATTTTAATAATATCGAGCATAGTTCAAGCTCGTTATAACAAAAACAAACAAAAAAAAAAGAAAACACGAAAAACATCACATTGTAGAAATCACCGTGCTGTTGTTGTTGTTGTTATTATTATTATTATGATTATGATAATTTGTAGAATTTGTTTCCATTAATGTTGATGTTGTTGAAGCTGCTAAAATAATTTCAATGGCACCTTTTGTTTTCATTAATTCTAATTGAAATTGTAATTCATCATGAATAGTTCGTTGTAATTTTTCCATTGCTTTATTATTTTTATCCGATGATGATGTTGAAAAATCATATAAATGTGATATTAAATGTGCTACTTCAATTAATACAGGCATATATGTTGTATGAGCAATATGTTTTTGTAAATAACGAAGAATTTTTAATAATGATAAATCATCTCGACCTGCTAATGCTTGTTTAAGCATTTGACGACGTAATAATTCTTTAAATAAAGCTAAAACAATATCTGGTTGTCGACGTTTAAGTGCTGATGTAAATGCAGCATCTAAAGCAGCTGATGCACGAAATTTTCGTAAATAATTATCATATGGTGCTAGACGAGGACGTCTATTAGCAGTTGCAATTGGATCTGTAGTTGTTGGAGTAACAATACCTAGACAAAGAAATTTTATCAAAAACAAAAAAAAAAACAAAAGAAATTAAATTTATTTCTTTACCAGATGGAAAAAAACGTCGTCTTGATTTTGCTTTTCTTGAGCCGGATGAAGCTGTAGATTTTGTATCATTTGTTGATTCATCATCAATTTGTACAAGTGAACTATTTGATGTTATCATATCATTATTATTATCAATTTTAATTGATTCATAGCCATTTGTCATTGTAATAGTCGATGATAAATTTGACTTTTGTTGTGAACCATCTCGTCGTTTTACTGACCATAAACCACCGGGCATACCAACACATAATGCTCGATCATTCGGTCCAATCATTCCTAATGATAAAACAGCATCAGGATATGTTATTGTATGAACAACACGAAACGTTGATGCATCATAAATTTTAACATGACGATCAAGACCACCTGATAATATATAATTTTGTTCACAAGTAAATCCTGTGCATAATATTGACTTATGATGATTTGATAATGATGCTAAAAGACGACCACCACCTAATAAATCCCAAACTTTTAAATATAGACCACCAGCAGTTATAGCAAGTGTTTCATTAGCATACATTAATACCTACGAAAAGAAAAAAAAAATTCAACATAGAATAATCATATCATAATCTTAAATATTTGTCTATCAATTGTGTCTATGTCAGAAACTTTAGGAGAATATTTATTATGTCATTTATTATAATTGATCTATCCAAGTTTGAAAAGATTTTTTTATAGAATACTATGTCTTTGTTTTATTCTTACCGATTCAATTTGATCACCATGATCAAAATTCATTAAAATATTATCATTATTAGATATTCGTCGATCGATTAATTTCATTGTTCGATCATAACTTCCACTTAAAAATAAATGAGGATTTGTTGTTGAACCTGGTGTTAATGCTCGAACATAATCCGTATGAACATGATCAAATTTTGATAATTGTTTTTCTGTTGCTAAATCGAATACACGTACAGTTCGATCATCACTACCTGTAAATATATACGTTTTATCACGTGAAAAATAAGTACAATGAACAGGTGATCCTTGATGTTCTTTAAAATGACGTAATTGAGTACGTGTTTCAAAATCAAATACACGTACAATACCATCTTTTGAACCAGCACAAACTAAACGACCATCTAAAAAAATAGAATGATTCAATTATTTAAATGAAATAAATGAAAAAAAATTATCATATTTTAAACCTGAACGAAATGTTCCACAATATGCAGTATCTTTAAATGAATAAAATGAACGAACTAATGATAATGTATCAGGTGAATAGATTTGCACACGTGTTGAATCTGTAATTGAAATCCATTGTTGACGTGTCGGAGCTATATTAATAGTTGTAACTGGACCATATTCACGAAGTGTTGTTGGATGTGAATTTGATAATGGTCCCCAATATAGATCATCATCAGTTAAAGCTTGTCCATCATCAATAGGACGTTCAATATGTAATTGTTTAAAGTCAGTCATATTGATAAAATTAATGAAAAAATATATTATCCGACAAACAAAGAAGAATAATCAGTTTCGAAAAAAAAAATACTAGTCAATTAGAAATATCGAAATATCATTGGACATAAATTTGCACCGATAAAAATAAGTCGATTATAGTGACATCCAATTCAATGAAATACCATTCGTTCGAATATATATGATGGATAAAAAGAAAAATATGAAGTTTGTATTGTTATTCGCCATGCGATGATACTGGCAACTTCAATGCTTTGATAAGTCATACAATCTGAATAGCTGAGCTGGCCAATAACTCTAGTCATTCAAATCAAAAGGTTTTTTTATATAGATATAGTGAATTTACATAAGTTTGTCTTTTTTTTTATTTAATAGGTGACAAATTACCTGTTGCACATGTGTTTTAATTGTCGTGTATAAACATATATTCTTAATGTTTCCATTCATATTAAATATGTTGTTGTTAGACCTGCGAAAGCTTCCAATTCTATGAACTTATTCTTTT